CTTATGTGGAGCCTGTGGTTTTGTTCAGTTCTGAAGTTGGACTGTGTGTTGGGGGACTGTACTTTTTGCAGTTTTGAGATTTGAAAGGGGAGCTGTGACTCAGAAGCTATCTGCAGATCCCAGTATCCACTGACAGGTATGTGGGCCCCTTGAAACCCACTTCCACTGCCTTACAATCTGTCCATGCAGTAGGGGTATAGTTTTGGTCCCTGAAAGCAAATTATATAGGCTTGCTCCCTTAAAGTGGGCTACCCCTATGGTTTGTTTGTGAAATTAATAGTTTTTACTATTTATTAAGACTATAGTGCTTGGGATGAGGGTGCATACAGATATAAAACTTTCTTATTTTCTCAGTCACATTTAAATTCCCTAAAAGTGTCTTTCATAAGTGAGGTTATATATTATTTCACATATCTGAAAGTCCACAAGTAGTTGGTGGTTCTATAGAGTTAATCTGGTGGCTTAATAATTACTTAGAACCTATGATTGTCTTCATACAACAAGGTCTTGTAACAGGAAAGTTTTTTTTTGTTTTTAATGCTTTTAAAAAAAAATTCTTGTGAATTTTTTTCCCCAAAATCCTTCTTTAGACATCCACTCAGGTTTTCTTTTCCTGTTATGAGCTTGTATTCAGTTACAAGCCAATCATACAGAAAAGAGAAAGACAGCTCTCCCCTCAATTAAATCTCAAAACTTCAAAAAGTACAACCTCCAACCCACAGTCCAGCTTCAGAATTGAACAAAGCCAGAGGATTCACATAAGGAAGAATAGGAGATTGGGCACACAGAAGTAAAACAAAGCATCCCTGAACAACAGAATTAAAGAAGAGGTAAAAAAAGGGGGCGGGGGCATTTACACAAATGAAGAAAAATCAAAAGAAGAATATGGGTCTCACACAGATTCCTGGGAGGTCAGTCACTGAAACTACAGATTTTGGAACACAAACAATGAAAAGCCCCCAGACCATGGCCCATATGCTGGACAGGGGAGGGGACCCACATTTTCTATCAACATTTGACTATTCCATATTTGAAGCGACTACAAATATGGAGCAACTACAGAGGAATGACTGATGTGTGTGAGACAATGCTGGCTCCCAGGGAGTATCGGTGGTCTTTGTAATAAAGCAGGCCATTGCTTAGCTTGAGAAATTAATAAAATATATGGATTATTGATTACAACTTGTGAGATGGAAATAGGCAAGCTAGTTTTTGCCCACAAGAAATTCATAATTCCCTTCACTTTCTGCTTTATTCAATCTGGTTATACCAAACGCATATTCCTTCTCAGCCCACCATGCTCTACATTGCTTCCCTCTGAGCACACAGGGCTACAGCCTAGCTGAAACATCCTTTCCCCCCTTTTCTACTTGGTTTCTCAGAGACCTGGCTGAGTTCAGTACTCCTTTCCAGAATTCTCTCAGCATTGATGTTTACCGCTGTCACAGCCCTGGCTGTCTTTGGTCTTAACTATCTGCCAGCGGTTGACCTCAGCACAGTCTGGAGCCCCATGAAAGAAGGTTGTGCTGTGATTCGTTTGTATCCTTAGTGTCTGGCTCGGTGACTGGAACATAGATGATTCCCAGTAAATATTTGTGGGAAGAAAGCATGAATCATTGAATGAAAGGAAGTTATGTCTAGATCTTTTCTTCTCCTTCAGTCAGTTTCTACCTTATAGTTTTTCTCTTTCCCTTTTCTCATCTCTCCATTCCTCTTATTTTCCCTTTTCTTACTCATTACTCATAATTAATGAATGAATCCAGCATCTTGAAAATTACACAACAATTTACAGTCTTACAAAAGGCTTTATCCTTCTCCTCTTCACAGAAAGATGGGTGTCCTGGGGGTTGATACAGAAATATCAGTGTTGATCAGGGAAACTACTCCAGAGACTTTGTTTTCTACTGTGAACCATCATTGGGTCCACTTTCAAGGGGCCGGAGTCCTGCAAATTCTTCAAAATGATAGGTCAGTTTTTGGGCTGCTTCTTGGTTCCCATTTCTAGTTTTTCATAGACTAGTGATGGGAAGACACTGACATTGATTTGCATGTATATGTGGCAGTTACTGGAGGGTGGTGTGGACTTGGAGACTTAGAGAATGATGCCGCCTGTTGCCATTGAGTGTGGTGGTGACGGGAAGTATCAGCAAAGTATATGCTGAGACTGTCATTGTTAGGCCAAAGCTCCTAGGGAAGAAGCTGTCAGAGTAAACCCAAGCCTTTTTCCTGAGTAAGTGTAGATAACAAGTGCCAAGGGATCCCCAGAGATCTCATCCCACCCAGAATAGGAGCTAGAGAGTTATATTTTGATGCTTTGTTCATCATGATTTTTTTTGCATTGATTTTGATTTGTAAAAATATAGCATTAAGTTGTTATTCTGATTACTGTAGTTTTTCGATGTCTCCTTAAATGTGCCAAGGTAAGTGGCTCTGGCTGGGATTTTGAAGTATAATTTCCTGTAGGGCCTTAAACTCAAGACTGAAGAAAATGTAAGCACCATTCTGCCTTGACATGATGTTGGACTTCTTGGCTCCCTTGGCAATTTTTTTGGTTCGGTTATATTCAATTCAACAAATATTTATTTCACACCTTCTCTGGAACATCCCTTGTACTAAATGCCAGAAATAGATATATACAAAACTTGGTTCCTTCTGATTGATTGATTGACTGATTATGGTTCTGCTTTTATTTTTTAATTAACATAATAATTGCATATACTTTGGGGGTACATAGTGATGTTTGATACATATAATACATAGTGATCAAATTAGGGTAATTAGCACATCCATCATTTTAAACTTTTATCATTTCTTTGTGTTGTGAACATTCAATATCCTCCTTCTAGCTATTCCAAGCTTACATAAAGTATTAACTGTAGTCATTCTACTGTGCTATAAGATGCAGGTATTTCACTTATCTAGCTGTAATTTTGTATTCTTTAACAAATTTCTCCCTATCCTCCCTTTCCCCTATCTTTCCAACTTGTGGATCCTTTGTTCTATATTTTACTCTGTGAGATCAACATTTTCTAGCTTCCACATACGAGTAAAAATGTGTGGCATTTAATTTTCTTTCCCTGGCTTATTTCACTTAACACAATGTTCTCCAGTTCTATCCTTGTGGCTATGAATGACAGGATTTTATTCCTTTTTAATGGCTGAATAATATCCCATTGTGTAAATACACACCACATTTTTTCTTTATCCACTCATCTGTTGTTGGACACCTAGGTTGATTTCATATCCCAGCTATTGCCAATAGTGCTGCCATAAACATGGGGGTGCAGATGTCTGTTTGATATACTGACTTACTTTTCTTTGGCTAAATGCTTGTATTGGTAGTGGTATTGTTAGATCATATGGCATTTCTATTATTTTTTGAGGAACCTCTGTACTGTGCTCCATAGTGACTGTACTAGCTTACATTCCCACCAACAGTGTATAAGAGTTCCCTTTTCTCCACATCCTTGCCAGAATTGATTATTTTTTGCCTTTTTGTCATCCTAATTGGGGTGAGATGATCTCTCATTGTGGTTTTGATTTGCATTTCCCTGATGATTAGTGATGTTGGGCATGTTTTTTCACTTATTTGTTGGCCATCTGTATGGCTTTTGAGAAATATTTGTTCATGTCATTGCCCATTTTAAAAAGAGATTTTTTTTTCTGTTGAGATGTTTGAGTTCCTTGTATATCCTGGATGTTAATCCTTTCTCAGGTGAATAGTTTGCAAATATTTTCTCCCATTCTGTAGGCTGTCTTTTTACTCTGTTGTTTCCTTTCCTGTGGAGAAGCTTTATAGTTTGATATAATCCTATTTGCTTATTTTTACTTTTACTCCCTATGCTTTTGAGGTCTTACTCATAAAATATTTTCCCAGACTAATGTCCTGAAGTATTTCCCCTATGCTTTCTTTAAAGATGTTAATTCCTAGAGGGGGTGGATTTGCAGCAGGATTATACCACGATACCAATACTAAGTGGCAAATACGCTGTCAGAGCTGAGACCAGAGTGATGTAGAGACAAAAGGGACTCTGGACCCAGCCTGTGGGTAGGGTGGAAATCTTGTGGAGCCGTAGTGCACCTGAAGGATGAGCTGGTATTGACCAGACTGAGAGGTAGGGGAAAGTGCTACAGGAAGAGGGAAGAGTATGATTAATGCTACAGAGGTAAGAAATGGTATGATTTGAGACTGAAACTAAAAGTGGCTTCACGTTGCTAAAGCATATATTTTGGGCAGGGGTGTTATAATGAATAATTCAGCTGCAGAAATGAGCAAGACAATAGCAGGTAGAGTTTTGGAAATCCTATTAATGAACTATGTCTTTATCCTATATATAATGGGGAATTAGTGAGGTCTTTGAAGTAGATGAGGAGCATGAATCTTACTAATGGGAAGGTTAGAAACTTTGCCTTAAATAATATACCCTGCTTCAAAAGAAGTCTTACAGTGTAGAGCACTGGCCTGAGTTTTGGGAACCTGGACTGGATGGTACTTCTGACTTTGCTATATGGATTCCCTTCTTTTCTTTATAATAAAAGGGTAGAGTGTTCAGCATAGAGATGATCCCTCAGAGCATTGCCATAATATTATTTGACACTGCTGTGGGCTTCTCTTGAGAAAAATAAGAATTCATTCTTAAGGATCAGAGAAGTCTTTCCATCAGAACCTTTTAATGGATTTCTGTTTCTTGGCTCTGCCCTACATTAAAAAATAATCCAAGTCTATTGAGATAACAGATCTGATTTACTCTGGCCAACAAAGCCTCTTTTTTCTTGCCTGTTTTCTGTGTAAATTGTTAATTGTTTATCCTTTTGTTCATTTTGCTGAACCCTGAAGACCAAATATGGAGGTGTAGCCCCTGGGTCCTTTATTGAGTGCGCCTCCTTGCCTGCCTTTTGAGCAGTAAGCCTTTCTCTATGGAGGGAAATATAGCCTTGCCATTTTCAGGTGTATCTTAGGCCGTTCTGCCTCCTTTCTCTTGCTTTCCTTCTTGAGATAGCTGCCTGTGTTCTCATTGCAGAGCTCCTGTGACAGGGAGTCCACCCTGACCATTCTCAAGGTCCTTGGAGATCTGCTTTCTGTTGGTGAGTAGTCTATACCCTCATACCCTCATATGGTAGACGTGGGAATGTGCCCACTATAGTCTCTCCCAGGAACCTCTGTGACCTGGGGCTTTGTTTTAACTCTAGTTTCCTGTGAGAGGTAGAATCACCAGCCCATGTTTTTCCTTTAAGGTTAATAAAGTCCAGAATAAACTGGAGTGATTGCACTTTGGCTCTTCAGTCTTGTCACCTACCCTATGTTTACCCAAACTAAGGAGGAATTTAGACTCTGGGAGGTTATTTTATGGTTTCTCATCTATGAAGACAAGGACCTCCAGGAGCCTGTGGCTACCTCTGAGCTCTCCTCAGGGAGAGCTACCTCTCAGCAGTTCTACCCCTTTCCTCCCTCTGCTCTCTTCAATTGTGGCCCGTATAGGACAGTTAGGTATTGACCGCCCCTTATATATTTCAAGTGAGGACAGGAATATGAGGCAGGAGCTAACCTTAGAAGTATGGTAGTTGTCAAGTTTGCAGAGATTAGAAGAAGGGTTGACTACATCGCAATCAAGTTTAACTGGAGCATGCCTCTACTAGCTCAAGTTCCTGCTAAGGTTTTTGGACATTTCAATATTCACTCAATTTGCACTTCTATGTAGGCTGACCACATTACATTAGCGAGAAAAACACCAAAGAGCAATACCAAAAATGAATGACACTTCAAAATCATAGCCCCCAAGATTATAGTTACAAGGTGAAGAGTCCCATCATACTGGAGTCTTTCCAAAGGCTGTACTGCCCTCCACTGGCAGGGACACTTCCCTCTAGCCTTTTAAGTGAGTTTCCCTGTGTAGGTGCAGCTACTTGTCTTCTTGGATAGAGCTGTTTTCAGTTTGTCCAAAGGCATCTGAAACTCTAAGAATGAAATCTTGGAGTTCTCTCTGATACAGATAGTGATTACTATTCCTTTTGTAGGGAATGCTACTTTTCACTAGGATGAAATATGAGATGGTCTTCTTTGGTATTGTTTTACCCTGTTGGACACCATACCCAGTGCACAGAGAATCACCCTGGGTCAAGTTGAAAAGTAATCACTGCCTTTAAGCTTGTCCTTGGGCAAAGTGGGAGAGGTCCTTGTTCAAAATCGTTCTTAGGTAGAAAGACCAATAGTTCATCTCAGCTCCAGACCTTCCTCAAAATTCCCTAGATAGGATATTTAGATGTTTGTTTCTTAAGGGACTATTCCAATGGTTTCCATATCTTTCTCCCATCCTTTTCTGAAGGTCAGCATCAAAAATCATTATGTCATTAATATAATTATTCTAGGTAAGGTTATCATCACAATTCCTGTTACAGATTATTCAAACATATAATGGAGGGATAATATTTTCTCTTTTATGAAGTATGTGATTGTGCATAAGCCTGTATGCATATTTACATATGTGTACGCAAATGTATACACACATATACTGAATATTCATCAGTATTAATTCATAGGTAAGTGGATTCTAGGCTCTATTACAGCTTCTGCAGGTAAATACAACTAAGTTCTTTTTTCTTTCTTTCTTTTCTTTTTTTTTTTTTTTGCGTTGGAGTCTCACTCTATTGCCCAGGCTGGAGTGCAGTAGCATGCTCATGGCCACCCCTGCTGGGCTCAGGCGATCCTTCCATCTCAGACTTCCAAGTAGCCAGTATTACAGGTGCACACTACCATACCTGGCTAATTTTTAACAAAAATTTATTGTTTCGCCAAGTTGCCCAGGCTATTCTCAAACCTGTGGGCTCAGGCAATCCCTTCACTTCGGCTTCCCAAAGTGCTGAGATTACAGGCTTGAGCCACCATGCTCAGTCAAGTTCTTAAATATTCCATTATTTCTCCATTTCACACCCTCATTCCCTTACCTAATAGCACAGTTTTAGCACAGGTTGTTCCAAGAACTATACCATTTTGGTTTTTGCATTGAAATGAACCCATTCCTGCTCTGTCTCTAGCTGTGAGGTCTGCCTTCTGCTCCAAGGAAAATGAGGGTTATTACTTTTCTCTGGGTTCTCTTTCAGGCACAGACCGGAGGATTCACTACATGATCAGCAAAGGTGGCAGTGAGGCCCTTCTACAGACCCTGGTGAACACAGCAAGGACCGCTTCTCCAGACTATGACATCCTCCTGCCTCTCTTCCGGCTTCTAGCCAGAGTTGGCCTAAGAGGTACACGTATGTTAAGACTCAAAGATGACTGAAGAGGCCCTTCTAGGGTTGTTATCATGAGAACAATTTGGGAAGTAAAGGGAGGAAGTGGCCAGGAGGTTCTGGACATCTTAGCAGTGACGGCAGCACCAGCCCCATGAGAGAGAAAATTTTGTTGACTTACATGCCAGTTAATCCAAGGTATGGTGCTTTGAATACAGCTCAGAGCAAGCATGAACTACATATGCATGGGACATGGGGGAAAGAGGGGAGATACTCCAATGCAGTTTTTAATTATTTTGAAAATAAGTGGAACATGTCTACAAATTGCATCTGACATAAAAGTCTATTATATGTGTGTCAGTTTCCTGGAGCTGCTGTAACAAGTTCCCATAAACTGGGTGACTTAACATAATGTAATTTATTCTCTTATGGTTTTAGAGATAAGAAGTCCAAAATCAAGGTGTTGGGAGGGGTGGTTCCCTTTCTTCTAGCTGCTTAGGGTTGCCAGCAATCTTTGATGCTGCTTGGACTCCAATCCTTGGTGCTGCTTGCATTCCAACCTCGGCCTCTGTCTTCACATGATGTTCTCCTCTGTGTCTTCTCCTTTCTGTGTAAGGACATTGATCATAGGATTTAGGACTCACTCCAAACTGTATGATTTAAGGCCACAAAGACTCTATTTCCCAAAAAGATAACATTTGGAAGTTCTGGATGGACATGAATTTTTGTGGGCCACTATTCAATCCACTACAACAAGTCACACAGAAGTAGACCATCCCTATTTGAAAGAAAGATGGATGAGGGACCTAGAGTTCTTTTCACTTAGACTCCATAGTCATTTATCTTTCCTAAGGAAGACCCTGAAACATCTTCCTAAAACCCTAGAACCTCTTGGAGCACAGTGTAAACAACCTGGGCTCTCAGGACTCATGCAAACACTGCAAACTAGTTGTAAGTGTAAAGCTCTGACTGGGTTACCGAGTCTTATGCAGGTCATAATTGAGAAGCTCAGATCCTCTAAAAAGTGTCTCTGATGTCCAGTGCTAGCCAAAAGTCCAGGGTCTCTGGAGCACTCTTTCCTTCCAATGTTTGGGTCTCCACTTTGAGTCCATTCAACATTCCACAGATAATGATGGAGAACCAGGCATTTGCTACCACCTGCGTGTGTCCCAAACAAAATCAGTAAAATTCACTCAGTGACTATTCAACAGGTTTTTACTGCAAGTCTTCCAGGGCCAAGTGCTGTTCTAGGCACTGGAAACACCATGGGGAGCAAGACAGTTAAGGGACTTCCTCTTACAGAGCTTATATTCAAGTGGAGAAGCTAGCAAGTCAACAAATAATTAACTTGAAGACAACAGACTATGCTAAGTGCTGTAAGGGAAAGAAATAGTGATGCCACGTTAAACTTATGTGGTCAGGGAGAGGTGAAATTTGAGTTAAAACTTGAAGAATGAGAAGTCAGCAAAGCAAAGAGAGGACTAGGTGAACTCCAGGAAAGAACCTAATATATACCTCAAAATAGCTTAGTCCTAATATATATCTCAGGCATGAATGGTATAAGCTAGGAAGTCAGACCTGGGTTTTAGGCCTGGCCCTGATATTTATCAGCTGTGTGACCTTGGGCAAATCATTTAAACTTTATGAACACTGTTCCCTTATATATGCCTATAAAATAGAACTATGTGTACAGTTGGCCCTCCATATCTGTGGGTTCCAAATCCATGGATTCAACTAACCTTAGATTAAAAATATTAGGAAAAAGTTTTAACTGCACTGAATATGTACAGATTTTTTTCTTGCCATTATTCCCTAGACAATTTAATCTAGAGACAATTTAAAGTGTGAGGGTGGATATGTATAGACTATATGCAAATACCACACCATTTTATAGCAAGAACTTGAACTTCCGTGGTTTTTGGTATCTGTAGAGGTCTTGGAACCAATCCCCTGTGATTACTGAGAGGTGACTGTACTTAATTCTAGAGTTGCTGTGAGGAATAAAGAAAGTATTGTATGTCACATGCTCAGCATATGGGTTCAGAGGCCTGATAAATTAGGGTTATATATGTTTCACAGGAGAGAGTTAGATGAGAGATACACCAGGGCAGTGATTTTCAAGTTATTAACCTTGATATTACTATTGTAATGATTATATCATCACAGTTTCTGCTATTAAGATATTATAGTACTTAACATTGTCATTCAAGTTGCTATAGGCTGACCTGAATGAAACAGAAATGAGGTTGACTGCTCATGAAAGAATGGGATAGATATCTCTTTTCTGATAAAGAGAGTAGGTCATGTGGGTTTAGTCACAATCTCTTTGCTGGTATCCTTTGGTCCAGAGGTACATATTGGTAAGTCAGGTTTAGGACATTGTATTTTTTTTTTTTTGCTCATTCATACCTGCAATAAGTTTGATAGTGTTGTATTCTTAAGAAAACAATGATTTGAGCATCATGCTTTGGAAAGGACGCAAACAAATGTGACTGTTAACATAGTCACCTAGTATTGTAGTGGGAAAAAGGATCACAAAATAAAGAGTGCTTTTTCCTTGTTTTTATGTCTATTTTCTAACTATTAAAATAATAATGGCCTATTTGTAACACTAACTGTGAGTTTATTTGAAGCAATAATTTAAAGATATTAGAGAGGAGAATTTTATTAAGATATTTTTAGACTTTTTATTATGAAAATTCTCTGTCATATAGAAAGACGACCTTTTATATACCCAAGAATTATCTCTTGTTGACATTTTGCCATACTTTCTTCACATATTTATTTGAACATTTTAAGAAAAATTACAGATAGCATTTTTCCTCTAAATCCTTTTGAGAACATTTCTTTGAAAACAGATATTTTCCTATATAATCAAAATTCCATTATTACAAATCTAATAAAATTAAAAATACATTCATAATATATATTTATTCCAATTTCTTCACATGTTCCCAATTGTCTTTTACAGACATAGTCAAAGCAGGATCCAATCCAAATCAACACATTGCATTTGAATGTCATATTACTTAAGAATTCTGAATTCTAGAATTGCCTTAAAGGAAAAACTTTATTCCCAATTGAACTGTAGTTCATATATGAGGACAACCTAAATATAGGGGTTTGAGAGTCATACAACCCGCAATCCTTCATGTAATATGTGCAGCCAGAATTAGCTCCTCTGATGCATTTGGTTCCAGTGGGGACGTATTTAGCAGCATTTTTTACTGGGTCTGAAAAGTGTCTTTGACTATGATTATCTTCCTCTCTCCATCATTTTCCCCTTGCTTCACTCCACACATTGTACAATCTTCAAATCAATGTGAGGCATAACTAAGATGAACTGACTTGTATTCTTAGATAAAAAGATTGGACAGAAGGCCCTGGAATTGGAAGCACTTGATGTGACATTGATTCTGGCCAGGAAAAACCTGTCGCACAGCCAGAACCTCCTCCACTGTCTCTGGGCTCTGCGTGTGTTTGCCTCCAGTGGTAAGTGACTCTATTGTGGCTCTTGGGGATGGTTTTCAGATCTGGGCCAGGATGCCTGGATACCATGTGCAGTCTGGCTGGAAGGAGGATATAGGTGGGTGTTATATATGGTTCCAGTTAGACAAATAAAGGAGTCTGGCAACCTAGAGGCTGTAGAAGTGAGAAGCTATTTCTTCATCTCCTCCTTAGCCAGGTAGAACTCTTGAGTCTGTTCCTGGATATTGTTTTTCCTTGGGAGTCACACATTATAGAATTCTAGACTTTTCTGTTGGCACTACAAGGTGAAAACAACCTATGACAAGTGAAGGGAAGATTTGATTCAGTCCTTATGATATTCAGTGTTATGTGTATTACATCTGTCAAGAATGACTCTCACATCACAAATCTCTCTATTTGTGAAGTTAAACAACATTCTTCACCAGTTTTTTTGCTATGACATTCTTAACCAATCCCTGTTAAGGATCCTTTTCAACAGGGTCCTCCAGGTAACTACTATGTACATCATGGCACATGGGTTGATATTTATTTGCTGTCACCTAATTTGGATTATTTTTGATTATGACAACAATTTCACATTTAGATCCACAATTTTAAAGCTTAGAAAAAGGAGCTAGAAAGAGTGAAGTAATTGCTTGAATTCATACAGATTAAAAGTCACGAGGGATGAATTTTGAACTCTCAAACTTATGTTGATTCTACTCCATATGGAGACATTTTATTAATAGATTAGATTCTATACCTTCTATCTCACATGTAATGAGCATAGGCTTTCATTTCTCCTTACTGAGCCCTCTTTCTGTAGAATGAAAGTGACAATTATTTAGATGTAATATGCTCTGTAGGAGAAAGAATGTGGGCTTAGAGCCAGAAAGACCTGAGTTTGACTCTGATTCTATTTCTTTTGAGTCATGTAATGTGAGTACTTAACCTGTTTAACCTCAGTTTCATCTTTTATAAAATTATAGTCATAATAATTATTAGTTAGTCTTCTAGGGCTACCATAACAAAATACCATTTTCTGTAAAGCTTAAACAACACAAATTTATTTTCTCACATTTTTGAAGGCTGAAAGTCTGAGATCAAGATGTCAGCAGGTTTGATTACTCCTGAGGCCTCTCTCCTAGGTTTCCAGATGGCTGTCTTTTCCTTGTGTCTCACATGGTCTTTTCTCTGTACTTGGGTGTTCCCAGTACCTCATTGTGCGTCCAAAATTCCTCTTCTAATAAGGACAAAAGTCAGATTAGATCAGGGCCCACTCTAATAGCCTCATTTTAATTTAATTATCTCTTTAAAGACCCTATCTCTAGGCACAGTCATATTATGAGATACTGAGGATCAGGGCTTCAGCATATGAGTTTTGGAAATGACACAATTCAGCACATAACAGCTCATAGACTTGGTGAATGGGAGAAATATGATAATGTTCATGGGTGTGCTTACCACATGGCAGGTGCTCAGTAACTGTTAATTCCCTTCTCTGCCCTACTCTTTTCCCTTAGTCTTTGAAATATTAGGATTAGTACACACACATAGGGAGAGTAAACAGGTGACTTTTAAAATAATTATCCTAAAAAATGCTATAATAACCTGATTTTTTTACTGGTTAATTCTATTAACAAACATGGGAGGCCCATAAAGGGAAGGTCTTTCTGGAGAATAACAAAATAGGTTCTTGACTTCTTGTTCACAGTCTGAGCCTCACCTATCACGTATATGCTGATCTCAAAATCAGAGAGCATTTGGGAAAGACTGAATGAGTCTGTAAAAACCCTTCTCTAATAAAGGAAAAGAAGAGCTGTGGCTTTGTATAAAGGACAACTCTCATTAATGAGCAGACAGAAGGTGTGCCGCCCCCATTCAGAGCTTGCCAGAAGCACAAGATTTGAAATAAATCTCATAGTTTCCTGAAGAATAACTAAGCGGAATAACTTGCCTTCCCTGTTATATATAATGGTTATGGAGATTTAGAAAAATTCCTTCAGCTGAGCACTGAGAAATCCTGGGATTTGCCTGTGGGTGTGAGGAGGTGGCCATTTGGCTCATCTTCTAAGTCTATGTTCACTGCACCAACTTACTGTTTCATAGGATTTTAAAATATCATATGGTCACTCCCTATACATTGTCTTTACTGATGAAAGGCAAGCAGAATTTAAGAAACCTGTGGATCACCTTCTCTCTGGTGAATTGTTAGCCACTGTTGAATGTTCCAGCAAGCTTTCTAAATAGCTTCTACCTTCAGAAGGAGTTGGCTGAAACCATTATAGGTCTGTGATAGCCAACGACCCTTTGGCAGCTCTTATATGGCCAATGAGGATGTTTATAGAACTGCCAGAGACCTAACGTTGAACAGGCATCCATAAGGGCGAACACAGTGAGGATTTCTTATTATTACCCTCTCCCAATTCTAAGCCTAAAGTCTTCAATGTTAGAATCAGTGTACTTAAAACTAACCTCTCCCTAACTCAATACAAAAGCTTTGTTGGATTATTTGCCAAGAGTTTGCTATAGATGTTTTCCCAATTTAGAAGTATGGACTGTGTTAGTAGCTACAATAGTGGAAGATTGATGGGCAGGACTAGGATGCCAAATCTCTGAATTTTGATCCAGACAATTACTGCCTGTACTTGCCGCAGGAGGAACATATGCATAGAGGATGTTCCAGGAACATGCGCTATTTGTAATAGCTAAGGCAGCAGCCTCAGTCCCTGTCTGATAATCTGTACTGGGATGAACAGTATCAGAGTCTCCAGATTTCCATGTAGTCTCCTTTCCTGAGGCTTGGAGCAAGCCAGTATAAGCCATCCTTGTTTCTCTCTCTTTGCTTCTCTGAGACCTCCTGCTCCCACTCACTTGGCTCAGAACAAGCCTGGCCCAAAGCACAAGGCATTCATAGGTCTTTGTCTTAAAAATATCGGTGCGGTGGAGGAAAGAGAGAAGAGTCGCACCTTGGATGATAACCCTCTTTCCTTCTCCCTCCAAAACTTCTCCCTCCTGCTAGACTGGCTTCATTTTGTGTCCTGTGGATTCTTTTTATTTTCCGGCATAACCAGAAAGTGATCTGAGTAGGGGGAGGTTGGGGGTGTTCCTAAAGTGATCTGAGTAGGGGGAGGTTGGGGGTGTTGGAGAGAATCTGGACCATTTTTTGGGAAGATTTACACCCAGAGGTTTTATTTATCTGGTCAGAAACCGCCTTTAAGTTTCTTCTGTTCAGATCTATCACTACGTTTTCATAACCATAAAATTGAGCAAAAAATTCCTGGGTTAGGTACTTCTGAGCAGGAAGAACTGATTCTTCCTTTGAATCCTAATGGAGGCATAGTCAAGTCATTGCCTCAGTCATGGGAGATCCAAGTACAAAAGTTGTAGGGAAACTTGCAACCAGGGTGGGAAAAAAAGAACTATTGTGTTTATTAGGCTGCCCCTTAAAGTTTTAAAGGAGTCAATCCAAGTTGTGCTGAACCGTAATTCATCTACTTGTGACCATAACTATTGTGCTTTTGTCTTTCTCAGTCTCGATGGGAGCCATGCTGGGAATTAATGGAGCCATGGAACTACTTTTCAAGGTCATTACTCCATATACCCAAAAGCACACCCGAACAATCAGGTACAGAGTATCTTCATAGTACTTCTGCTCTCTTTGTAACAGATGGAGAGATGGAGCTAGCCCCCCACACATTTTTATGATGCTTCAGTTTAGTAATTACTTCCCCCTCAGAAATACAGTACTATGACTTTATCCCTTCTCAGCCTACATCCCTACCCACCTATGAGTTATTTCCTCTAATCCTCACAACACCAAATGGGCACATTATTATCCTCACTTTCAAATGAAGAAGGTGAAATGTGGAGAAAACCTTATCCAAGGTCACTGTGCTAGGAAACAGTAGAGTTGAGATTTGAATCCAGATTTTTCATGTTTTTTTTGCCTGAAGCCTTCAGGCATATAGTTTTTACTCACCGTAATTCTACCATAAGTGAGTATGATCTTAAAAAGACAGTCCAGAAATGACGAGGTCTTTAAAGAGTCAGCCAGTTAAACTTTTGACATGAGAGCTGGGCCTTATAATAGTCCATCATGGCTGTGTGCTGGTCTTGAGTTGTATTTTTATGATTGGAAAATGAAACTCAGCCTATTCTGCCTCTGCTTCCTGAGTGGAGTGAATCATCATGTTAAAAAGGGAGATGGTTAGACATGAAGGCTTTAGAGATATTTGGAACCATTAGGATCCATCATTTATGGGAGTGACTCAGCGAGGACCTTGAAAGAATATTAGAAGAAATTCAGCCAATTTCCAAGATATATGGGGTCATTTGGCAAGTAGCATTTCCATGCCCAGCCATGATATTTTCTGCATCCCAGCATCAATCTTAGGCTCATGTTCCACCTGATTATTTTTCTCTTGGGTCACCACAGTTATGCCATTATCATCCATTCTCACCTGCAGCTTTCTACACCAGCATTTCCTAGAGTGAAATGCATTATATCTCAGTGAAAAAAAACTCTCATTAAATAAATAGGGAAATACTGAGTTGAAAAAAGTTAGATAGATTTCTTTACTGTAAGACTTCTCAGAGCCTTTGTAAAACCAACCCATATAAAACTATCTTTAGATGTTTATATTTTATGCCCTGTTCCCAAACTGGTTTGGCCATGAAGCTCTTTTTGAGGCCAACTTTTTTGGGAGTCAGTGTTCTAAGTATCTCATTTTGGAAACCTCTCCTCTGGAATATAAATTTATTGGAAAGTGGAATTCAATTAAATTCTATCAAGAGACCCCCACCTAGTAGGTATAAAGCTTCAGAATCACAAACTCAGAAAAAACAAATTAACTTTTTATTTTCTATAATTATACTTTATTTTTGCCTTAAACTCTTATTTATGTCAGTTAACAAAAACATAATTCAGTATCTTACCAGGAATCTAGGTCAAATCAGTGTATAAGTGAAATCAGTGATTCTTTGATCCATTCAGAATTTTCACTCTTCTGCTGCTCTTACTGGGGTGCATCTAAGTCCTAAGAAGCTGTGGTAATGCCAAGGTGCTGATGGACAAGCACAGCTTGTCCTCAAGTGCCTTGTGTCCATTTGGATGTGTATGACTTGGACATGCCTAATTTTTATGGCTGTGTACAGGCTTTTGCTTCTGACATCTGCAGTCCCAACATGTCCTTTAGTCACCAATATTTCTGCCCTATTCACAAGGCCTCTTCTAATCTGATGCTGTCATAATTCAGCTGTTTAGAAACTCAGGAATAGAAGCTTAGGTTGATTCCACTTAGACTATGTGAAAATCTGTGTGATATGTCTGCTGGGCCCATCCACATACAAATCTTACTCAGTCACCTCTTTGCCACTCGAGTGCCATGTTGTTTGGAGGGCTTACCTAGGAAGCCCTTCTCAGCTAGCCTTTAGTACCAAGACAATAGGTACCTCACTTTTGGGGTCTTAATTACTTTTATTGTCTTTCTTATTCCAGTTAAGCCTGGGGATGGGGGTTAGAAAGCAGCAAAGCACAGAAGTTGCTTTCTCAGAGAATCGCACTAGTTGCAATCTTTATTGCTTTCTTTAAATCCTGCAAAGGGAGTCAAATTCAGGCACAGATCTGATCAAGGTGCCAGAGGAAAATGGGAAAGTAATACCAGGGATTAATAGGAGTGGGTGCTTCCAATAACAAAAGGAATCTTTATTGGACCTCAGGTATATTTCTGCATGTCTGGTTTGCTCTGTAAATTTTGGGCAAGATCGTTCCCCTTCTTCAGCCAAATGCAGAATCAGAACCAAACTTCTGTAGAAGAGAAGCTTTTTTTTAAATGAAAGATTACAGTTGTCATTGCCATGATGTTTATTAGGTGCCTTGCATTGTGCTAAGCTCTTAGCATGCATTATCTTTTTTGAGCTTCTTCTTTATTCTTTGAGGCAGGTGCTATTACTGTCCCCAGTTTTACAGGAAAAGAAATCGGAGCTGAAAAGTTAAGTAACATGCTGGTTTTTAAGTGAAAGAGCTGGGATTTAAACCCTGTCTGATACATGAGCCTCAGCTCTCAAACCACCACTGGAGTATCTTATACAGTCTATTTCCAGGATTTTATTTCTAAAACCATCATGTGTAGGACAATCATAAGCAGTGAAAGTTTGCTAAATTTCGTTTACCATCGAAACGGCTCATACCCATGGAACAATTTGCTTAATGACAGGGAAGTCTTTCTCCTCCATCAAATGGCTGTTTTCTCTTGAAGGCTAAATATCTACTCCCTCTGCTTTTGAACTTGTTCCCAATGTACCTTGTTTTCTAACTTACCCTCATTCCTCATCAGCAAGATAAGAACAAAGGTAGTGAAACTGAAAGACCTGCACTATCATCCTTTTTAGTTGATTCCTTGGTGAGTTATTTAGCTTTTCTTAACTTTGACATTTCTTAAAGTGTGAATATCAGGTCTTGCTTTCTAGGTTTGTTGTGGGTGTTAAAAAAATAATATGTAAAAACTTTGTGAGCTCTGACATGCTATAACATGGTTAAATATTATGAATACAAATGCTATTTGATAACCGATTGCCTGCTGCAGATCAGGCATCAGAGGCTAGAGAATAATTAGGAGACAGGAGCTGCCTGCGAGTTCTCATGTTCTCTCACAAATTTTATACTGAAAATAGTAACTAAGATGTACCCAAATGGATTCTACTCAACTCAACTTGTATGTCAGAACCTGTGGGTTTCAGGGGGTCTTGCAAGAAAAGGATGAAGAAAAGGAGACATAGATATCCCTACTGAGTACCATTCTCCAAATGCTAGCAAGCTATGGGACAGTTATTCCAGGATGCCTTTGTAGAGGCAGATGCCCAGTGTTGTGTCACTATGACTTCTTCCTCCTGTGGAGATTAAACCTGTCCTACTTCTCTAGCATGAACCTAAAATTAGATGTGCAGCTGTCCTCCAATGAAGCCCTGTCTCCAGTGAGTACTCAGGACAAGATTTATAACAGAAGCTCCAACCACACACCTCCTAGAGAAGGGACACATAGAGCAATGTCACTAACCCTCTGTGGCCTTGTGCCAACCCTCTCCCTAGGGGAGGCCACTATTTCAGGCCTCCTTCACTTCCCAAATACCTGCCATGCTGCACACACTTGCTTTGGCTTGTGCCTCTTTCCTTCCTTTGCGTCTCATGAGCACAAGTCTAGTTAGAGCAGTTATGATCAGACTTAGACTGCTACTATTGCCCTCTGACTGGACTTCTGTGACCTTGAAGTCAAAACCAACGTGCCTTAGCTTTCCTTTCCAGCCCTATTCCTAATTCTTTCTCTCATCTCTTTTTCTAGCCAGCTATTCCTGAATGTGACATGTCCCACACTGCCTCAGGTCTCTCCCTTCCTCTAGAATGTCATTGCTACCTTATCCAGTGGTAGAAGGTCCTACCCAGTCTTCAGACTCCTCTTGAAGCTATCTGCTCCATCTTGCGGGAGAGAAGAAATCTTCTCTCCTCAGTGATCCTCCAGAACTTTGTACATACCTTCCCTTAACACGTATTCTATCCAACTCTGTACTATGTTGGCCTGTATGTCTTTCTTCCTTTCTAAATTCTATACTTCCTAAAAGTAGAAGTCAAATGAGGTTTATTTCCCCTCACCATTTGCTCTTTTCCAAAGCATAGCTACATCACCTCTGATCCTGCTGGATCCTCAAACTGTAATATTTAATCTAACCTTTGAAACCGGGTTATCAGATGCTATCATCAGTGTATCTCCTTTAAACCCTGCTGGCTTGCCCTGCCTTATACATATTAAGTAAGTAGGAAACATGTTGAATCTTTCTAGCTGAAGCTCGTTCCTGAGCCCTACTGTATTCTATGACCATGGCACCACACTTTGAGAATGAGGACTTAGTACTGCCCACAGGCTGAAATGGTTCCTTCATCCCTCGCCTTCATTCTTTCTGAAGTTTCCCCAAGAACTCAGGAAGTCAAAAAGTGTATTGTTCACAATGGTGCTGGTGTCACCTTCACAGAGGATGGCATCTTTAATGGTGCCACCCTGCCAATGCCCTCTCAGGTTTTCATCTGAGACGTTATGCTATGATTTTCCTCTTCACGCTCAGGGTCCCGGAAGGCTCAGTGTCTACTCCATGGGGTCTAGTCCAGTGTTTAGATTATATTTTTTATATTTATATATTTTTTCCTTGATACCAGGCTGGTTCCACATGTGAGGTTCTCCCATGTCTAACCACGTCTGGAAAATCACGTGGCAGACCTACCACAAGCTCTATTGCATGAGGGACTAAGGTGCCTTCCAGGAGAGAACTCAATTTGAGAGAGTAGGAAGTAGCAGCTATCAGCTTGAAAGGGAGCAAAGTTTTACTCACTGCAGAAACAGAAAAATTCAGAGTTTTCTGATTTATTTAGAGTTGTTTGGGGGAACTGACAGAGGTTGGCAGAAGGGAAAAATCTGAATTTGAGGGGCATGTGAGGGGCAGCAGTCTCGTGGAAAATTTGCCTTCTGTTTGAAATAGGCTTCCAGTATTTGGTCTGTTAAGTGATTCAGCTGGGGCTTAAGAATTTCTGGGGGTGCTTTTTATAGAAATAGGGAGGAGGAAATGTCACTGGGCCAGAGT